ACTGCCCTGGATGAAATTATGGCGTGTACAAAGTACTGCAAAAACTCGATGTCGAGGGATGTCGGTGAATCCTGACGGTTGGAACTGTTGATCCGAGGGTCGACATTCATCGACATCCTTCAGACGTTCACTTTTGTACACGCCATTTATCCAATGAGAGACGTACCGTATTCCCCCGGATATAAGACCCTAGGGTCTTATGCTAAATCCCTAGAAAAAATGGGGCGGGTCTTAACAAAGGAAAACAAATTAGAACACCCGGGTCTCTTCATATGGTATTACTTTTTTTTTTTTAGTTTTTTCAAGACCAAATTTAATACCGAAGTTGTGGGTTTGCTTTTGGTGATCGCTTGTCGAGTCAAAACGAATTCGCCCGTCACAGTAAAATTCGCCCCTCTCACGCAACATTTTTGCCCCCTAACACCCAAATTCTGCCAGCTGGCGCAGCAGACTGGCCCCCTGACGCAGCAAATCAATCCCTTGACACGAGAATTCACCCCCCGAAAGTTGAATTCGCACTATAGAATGCCCCAGTTTCAAACAAAACAAATGAAAAGTACATGGAAAACCCCCCTATAGGGGAAAAGGGAGGGTCTTATATTGATCACCCCCCAAAGGGGGGGTATAACAAAATCGAGGTTTAATAAAGTACCCCCCCCCCGTATTAGGTACCCGAGGGTGTTGTATTTTGGGGGGGTCTTCTATCCGGGGGAATACGGTATGCAGCGGAAACAACCACGAGCACCTGAAATCGCGAATGCAGCACTGTAAGCGAAGGGTCGAACTCGCATGGTGCGCCCCTTCCGTATAAGAGCATTGCCTCTGCTGTGCATTCTATTCGCAACACTCACTCATCCTCGTAATTTATAGACCCACTCATCCTCGAAGTGACTTCGAGTCCTTTATGATCCACTTTACTCCACGGTTCCCGGGATTGCCTTATTTTGGACTTGCAACCCCCAGCTTCACGCAGCTCCATGGCCCGGATGACGTCACTCGCTCGCTCGCCGTCGCTCGACGTTAAGCGCCTCGTCGTCGTCGTCGCTGGTGAGACCACCGGCGCTCGTACGCGCCCTGCCATATGTCGTCTCGTCGCCCTGTCATCATGTCGCCTCGTCGCCTTGTCAGGTCACCTCGTCGCCTTGTCAGGTTGTCGCCCTTTCGTGACACTCTCGCCTCAACCACGAGTCAGAGTCGTTCGAAGGCATCGCAGCACGCCGGCGGGGGTGCTTCAGCTAGTAGCCCCACACGCGAAACTGCATATGTCGCCTTGTAACACTCTTGCTTGACAGTCGATGAGCGAACCCTTTGCTCATGCTGAGTCTGCTCGGCTGCTATTTTGAATAGGAGGCAGATTCTGTTTACATCAATAATGGTTCGTGTCGACTGCTCGCCCGTTCTGCGATGATGTTTCTCTAACGACGGTTTTACTACATCTCGAAAATCCTAGGCCCGAAAAGTTGCGTGCCAGCAACTTCAAAGTTGCTTTTCCACAACTTAAGTTTCGGCAAAAAAAAGTCTAGGTCAAAGGCTTCCATGACACGGTTGCGTGAAAGGTGACTTATCCGCAACTTTTCCGCAGCTTTGCAGCAACGGTTCCAGCAACTCTGCAGTAGCTCCAGCAGTGTCGTAGGTGTCATTTCTCCGTGATGTTCAACTCAGTGACATTTACGTTACCATGCAGACACTATACGGTTACATCTGTGTATCGCCATATTGCTACATTTGAGCATACATGAAGTCACTATTCCACGTCATCATGAATCATCCACGTGGAATTACGCTTTATGCCAGATGGCATCCCATCCCCGACGAATCATACTGTGCCGCATGTAGGGTCTAGATGGCCACAGGTGTACGATCGAGATTTTGGCATCCCATGTTTAACAGTTCCTCCAGGGCGCGACACCTGGCCTTTCCGGATAGGCCGTCAAGCACCAGTAATCTCACGGATACACTTCATCGCGATCGTCCGTCCGGCCCAGATGTACGTGTGCGATTAGTCATTTAATCTGTATATACATTCACACGCCGTCGGATTGGCGATACTATCTGTCCAACTAGGACACCTGACACCACTCGTCCCACCACTTGTAACCCTCACGTAGCGCACGATATTACACCTGTGACCATCTCCACCACCCATGTGGCAAAAAGACACTGGACGATAAATCTCGGCCTATTGTAGATACCAGAGGATGGACGACCACGTCGCAGATTGTACGATTGCCATTTACGCACGTCGTGCGAGTAAAATCGCATCTAAGGGCCCATATCTAACACGCCGCAAATTACGCCGCAGACCACGGCGCAAATGGCGCCGCAAAAGTCGGCGTACCAGTACTGGGTATCGTTTGTGATTTGGTGTAACAACTGCACGGTCGCCCATATGTGCTACCAATTGGACAGTAATGTTTTTGTCTAATTACTCAAAAGCACCACAACATCAATCACTACACCCTGCCTCTTCTAAACACCTACGTCATCCCAAGTCATACAAATGGTTTTATCATAGTTGACCCAACCACCTCGCATCCGAAGCATCGGAGTCACTATCCGATGAGAGCACGTTAGACTCGTGACCACCGTCCTCAGAGTCCTCGCCATCCTCTAGTAAGGATTCCAGCCCGCAAGATGATAGACAGAGCCCATGCCTGCCCCACTTCCAGGACTTCTTCGCCTCGTCATACACAACCCCCTCGTTGCCGCACACAACATCCACAATGGCATCAATCGCCAACTTCTGAATTCGACGCACCGATGCGCCGTTCTCGCAAGGAGAATTGTGCAGATTCCCCTTGCGCACATTCCAGTTGATAATGGCGTCCGTGATCTGCGATGGCAAGAGACACTTCTTTACTTCGGAAAATATGTATGGACGTTGCAACACCATATGTGCGCAGCGTAGGCAACGTACCAAGTGCTCGAGCCACGACATGTGGCGAGATGGCGCATGCCGAGAACGCTCCGGACGCAGAGGGTAGTCCATCCATGCTGAAGTGCCACCTGCACAAGGCGGGGTCCGCTGCGCACACAACAATTGACATGTGTACAAGGGTAGACGGCATGGGTGAGAGGGAGGGGTGAGTGTTCGTGGTGGTCCTCGCTGGCATTGCGATCATGGCGTTTTTCCAATTACAGCGGCCATATGACATGCGATCACGCACCCTCATCTTCGATGGGTGGGCCATATCTTATGCGAACACGAAGCGCAGTGCGTTCCGCTTTATGTGCCCAAGGGCTGACCCGGTCCTCGTCGTCACGGAAAAGACCGAAACGGGGAAGAAAAACGTCGCGAGCGCGCCCGGCCAAGCTTGTTTTGTACTCGGACAATGTCTTGTTCAGATCTTGTTGTCGTACCTTATCGGCGTCTAAAGCCATAGTCGCAGTTTTTGGGGGAATCGTGGCCACCACTTGGTAGAGGCCGGCAGTTTTGGCGTTGCGGCTCGGATAGAAGTCCATTTTCTCGTTCGGGGCTTCTAGAAACAGATGATCCTTTACCATGTCGCATACTCCCTACGACAAAGGAAAATTCGTTGGGGGGGGGAGTGAAAATGGTGACGAAATCCATATGGCCAAAAATTCGAAGCCGATATCACGTTATCAGTAAACGCCCACCTTCCGTGCCACTTTCGTCTCCAGCTCGTCCTCATCGCACGTGGATGCGTCATCATCAGTTTGCTGGCGTTTCCGCTTCACGGTGTCCCTTTCGCGCGATGCCGCTGCACGCGGTGACGCTCGCTTGCGCTTACGCTCCTTGCCAAGAGCAATAGTGAGTACGTGTGTCTCCAGACGAACCATTGTCTTCACGGTTTCCATATCGGAATCACGCAACTCCTCAAATTCTTCGCGTGTTACGTGACCACTGGCTGGTTCTTTGCGCTTTTTCCTCCCTCTTCGCCGTCGTTCCCGCACGGGTCATTGCTTGAAGACTGACCACTAGCGTTCTCATCCCCGTCGTCGTCCTCCTCGCCTTCCATTAACTGGTCCATCAGGCGTTCCTTAATTGCCTCGGTGTTGTCATCCACAGCGTTCGCGCTCGCGACAATTGGTGTGGCGGCTGCATCCGTGGCGCCTCCCCCAACATCTTCGGCGCATTGTAACTGAAGTGCATCCTCTTGAGTCGTTGGGACAACGGGTGGGGTACATATCACGGTGTTATATCTCATCCGTGTCATGCATTACCGACACCAACATGATAATAAATATACGGTCTCCGATGTGTTACCTTTTGTGTGCCCTGCTTCCTTCGCCTCCTTGCCATTCTTTGACGTGGTGATTTTGCGCCTCTTAGGCTCTGGTACACGTCCACCTTTCTTCCTCTTCTCCGGGTACTGATACGAGGATGCCAACTACCCCGGCGCATTTTCGCACGCACGGAACGACCCCCCCCAGGAGTACTCATCTCGAACTCGCGCAAAGACAGAAGCGACTACTGCAGACTCGGCAGGAGCTAAATGGCCTAGAGTTGTATTCTCACTCTGTCTCGTCCCCCCCCCCCCCCCCCCCCTTCCCCCCCCCCCCGGCACTAATGTGGATATCGCAAAGTCGGAGACCGTCATTGCCCACCGCAGAAATTGCTACCTACTGTTGGCCACGCGTACATATGTACACATGTCACGACTGGAGTGGCCTGGTTGATTACATGCCAGTTTCGGCCACTCGATGCACATGTAGATTGTCGTCGTGCTAGGATGGTTCGGCCCGAAACTTGTACCCGTTTCTGTAAATCGCTCTGCGAGACTAAACACTCGCCAGCACTTCCGTAACTGCGACAAACATTCGAGATACGAAATTTGCGACATTTTACAAGTTGTTCCCCTTGGATAGGCAGTGGCTATTTGCTTCTCCGTAACCATCTATAGAGACAATATGTGGAAGTATGCATTAACGCGACAACTACAATACACACATTCAGATGCACTTCACGAGATCTAGTCTGTAAACACCATCAAGGTACTGCTACTGCGTTGAGTCTAATGGCTATCCACCTCGTGGCCTTATGCAGCATTGCCGTCATAGTTGACCTCCTCCCAATCATCTTCCTCCTCCATGTCATCCTTCCCTGGTTCATATACTTCATCATCGTCCACAAACGCCTCGTCGTCTGTGTAGTCCTCCGGTGGGTCCTCAGGTTCTTCAGCCATGGGCTGGTCCTCTGTGGCCTGCGTAGCCGCCTCCACCTCCTTCACGTCATCGATAGCTTGTGACACTCTGCCCTTGCGCCTGGAACGAGCTCCGGTGGGATGCGCTTCTTCCAATCCCTCCATAGCGGCCCTCCACTCCCTCCATTGGTTCCAACGCCGAAACTTCACAAGTAGCCTTAAATTCTCCTCGGTGCAGCGTGCTAGTGCTTGCCTCTCTGCGTCGGACAGTTGCACCGTGCAGCTTATACGGGAGTTCGGCCGAAGGACAACTGCTCCCGCCGCATATGCGTATGCAGCCTCATCCCTGTCTTCGTACGACCCTAGACGCACTTGCTGCCTGCTAGCAGATATTGTACGGACGTAGTACCTCTGCTTCGCAGCGTTCCACATAACACCTGTACGACCACTGCTTGCTGCCCTTCTAGGGTTACCTGGAACTGCCTGCTGGGAGACTTATCGCGGCTGCGCAGCGCTAGTGCAAGATGGCCACGCTCCTGTCGACTGACCAGAGCAGGTGTCGTGTTCATGGCAGGGAGCAGGCCATCTCTCAGGGCACGTGTGCGCGGTGCAGGGCATGGTGAGATAGCAGCCATCCACGTCATTATACGCGTCTGAGGTATCCGTGCGATGTCCAGCTGGCCGCCTTGATCTGCAGTGTACTCGGTTTTTGCGTTCTTTCGTGGCGTCGCCGTCGCCTCCGGCGTGTCACCCAGGGCACCCAAGTGTTGGCGCGCTCCTGCGTTCAGCTCGTCCGACGTCACACCTTTGCGGATGGCGAGATACTCGATCTTGACCGTAAGAACTTGTATGCCATGCTCCATCACGGCGAACTTCTCCTTATGGTTGAGCAACTCTCTCCGAATGTCCACCGGTGGGTCAACGCACATGTAACCGTTGTTGTCGATAACTGGAACAGGCTGCAGAGGGATGCGGAGACCCTGGTGCTGTAGTTCGAGAATCAGTGTGCCGTCGGCATGGGAGCACAGATCGCCGCGCATTTGGTGGCGGTATCTCTCTGCACTCACTCCCCGGAACGATATGTACTCGCGAACGGTTACGAAACCAGAAGTCACCAGTGCTTCGAGATACTAGGTGTACACACTGCAGTCCCACCTGTTAGGTTGTTCGGGAATCTGGTGACCCTGCGCAACAACGGTGCATCAAGGTCGACCGCATAAGAACACGATATCGTAATGACAGCAATCTGCGTTGCGCAAGGGACAACGTTTTACAAACAACATGGTTACCTGCATGGTTCTCGTCGTGGCGTTGATGAGCGCCTCCCTAGCCATCTTTGGGTCCACCTCCGGATGATCTCGCTGGCACATGAGGTGCAATAACCTGCACGATAGATGGCCACAAGGTCATTGGCGCCCACATAAGTTACATGTACACGAGTTGTCGGGCACTCTAAAACGAATCTCACGCTTTGGTGCCGTCGAACGCCTCCGTAGTTTTGGCATGGAGGTCATCGCTGTCGAATAGGATGAACTCCACAGGCGCCGCCGTCGGTGTTACAATCCTGCTCGGGTTGGTGACCACCATCAGCGAATAGTGCTCACTGCACGACACACGATTCACTGTTATTCGTCTACGATGAACATGCAATTTCAAAGCCTGAAGAATCCACGTACATACCTGGCAAAGACTGGGACTGCGATGTAATTGTACTCGAATACCGAGGGGCCCGTGCATCTCCCGATCGGCTTCTTGTGCATCTTGGCATACGCATACACCTTGATGTCAAGGACCACCCATGATTTCCCGTTCGGGCATCTAGGGTACCTGATGTTCAAAAGGCTGCACAGGGGCGGGGGGACAAAATACGATGAACGAAGAACATAGTAGGCAACTCGGCAGGTTGTCTCATGCGTGCGATTGCTGAGGTGCGTAAGACTAACACTTACATGTTATGAAAATCCATGACGGCATCCCCGAGATATTTCTTCTCGGCGAGCGAGACAGCATCGTGCGCCGTCACCTGACAGCCAACGCCCATGTTATTACACAGCGACACCGTCTTGAACGTCGATGACTCTGGTGCGATCAACAGAACTGTCAGCGCGTCGTTCAGCGCAGGCTCCTCCTTGTCGCCTACCAGCCGCGAGCCCCATGCAGAAACTGTCGCCGCATCCGCCTTCTCCTTTATTGATTTTTTGTCAGTGAATTCACGAGAGCGCAGCCGCTTGTTGCCAAGCGACTCTGGGATCGTGGTGTTATCCCGCCGCGCTCCAGCCGGTTGCCTACGCGTTGCAATGGCTTTATTCTTACGGGGACCACGTATCGCGGCCTGTGCTTTGGTTCTGAGTACCATGGTGACTAATAGCTTGCTAGAGAGGCCGAAACCTTAAGCTGGAAACAAATCGCACGTAGGCATTCGCCAGATAGAACCAATTATAGGCAGAAGTACGCACAATCAGTAACAATTTCCTGAGCTGATGTTGACATCCTTTCCTTCGCGCGATTCTAGAATGCGGATACCACCATGGCGGTTCGTGAATGGCAGCACTTACGCGAAAGTGACACTTGTCAATCGCGTGTAACCGAAGAATTTGTCCCTTCGTCGCCATGCACCGTCGCGACACGACAAAGTGTTGTGTTACACGTGGGTGTAGCTAAATTCCGGACGACATATGTATAACGGTAAACTTAAATTATCGCCTATGAGATAATGCCAAACACGCCCATAATGGGGACGATTAAAACACAGCATGGACACGACAAGGGCAGACTCTATAAAAAGATCCGCATGGGAATCGTGATCGTCAATAACCGTCTAATAAGCAGCACAAACATGTACCCAAATTTGTGGATACTCATGACATCCGTACCAAAACACTAAAGGGTACAGAGAACACACTAACAAATGAGCATACTGGGCACAAACATGTGGTCACAACCGTGAACGACTTCAAGCGCCTATGAGATGTACACACGTCAGTGCGCAATCCATGGCTCGTGTGGACAGGGATGGTCAATAAGCATTGGGCAGGGCGAGTACACCCGGTGCCCTGGTGCCCCAGCACATACGCATTGGTCGGTTTCTGTCAAGTAGTCGCGACCTCAGACGCTGCATCCGGCAAAACAACCGGATATAACAACTGCATCTCGGACTAGCGGCCGCTATTTTATTTCCATGGCTGGTCTAAAGGATCTCATGTCTCGCATGGGCGCTCCTCCTAGCGACGTCTACTGCTTTGTTGAGGTTACACTCCTCCTAGGACTACAGCCATACGTGCACCCATTCTGCGGGCGCACTGGGAATGAACTTAAGAGGCTGTTCATCGGCCTTCTCTATTCCGCTGACAGGGCCCAACGCTTCAGGCCTATTGTAGTGAGCAGGGACCGGGAGCCGATACGGCTGGGCTTTGATGTGAACGGAGACGAGTGGGCGTACGTCCGCCGTACACGCTCCGGTCGCATAACTCCCGAAATAAGGGCCATTTGATGGTTAACTGCCTGTGTCACTTGTATATGGACTCTTGAAAATGTACATTCGAAATGTCTCTGTGATATTTGTTGTTGTCCATTGCAGCTGTTCACAAATTTCATGCTAGGCCTCAACGCTGCGAAGTTCGCCGAAGACCGCCGCATCGTCGTCCTCGTGTCATCACGTCGGCACAAGCTCACTTGGGGAGAGGGCAAGCGGGAAACATATGGGACCTTCAGCATGCACCACCTAACCCATACTCGTATCGTGCAGCTCCATGGGACAGTCCCGGACATGGGGAACCCGGTTTTGCAGGGCATTGTGGCGTTCTTCAAGTCTGAATTCCGCACGATGTGGGTGGACTTCCAGACACGGGGCATGACGCTCTTGCCTCCCGCTTGGATGTGGAGCAGCCAATCACCCTCAGCCGCAAACACATTTCAGTGGACGTACGAGGCGCTCTGGGGGGTGGCGACATCCCATATTCAGCTCACCTTTTGGCGCACCAGGAGCATCCCGAACGAGTGGGTGTCTCAGCGATCAACAGCGATATGCATGTCGAGATCGTGGAGCAGCTCGTGGCTAGCCTCATGGGCCTGCAACGGAAGCTGGAAAAGTTGGATCTTCCCGGCTTCATTCTGGAAGCCATTGACTACGCGACATGGGATGACGAGATCGACAATGATATGGCCGAAGTCGTACCAGAGTCTGTCGGCCGTCTGGTGGACAATTCCAGCAGTGTCAGCCCCATCTCATAAGATGACAGGACTCATCGTCGGTTCATGCGTATGGCATCAGATGCGTACACAAGGCTCGTCAGCGAAAAGGGAGTCACTCCGCGTGACGTGGCCACGGTCAAGCGCTTGGGGAACACGGACCTTGTAGACCGCCCGGTGCGTACACCGGAGAAGAAGGCTCGCCGGTTTTCCTACGCGCCATCCTCACCTATTTGAAGCACGGACAGCGAGGAGATATGCTTCCACTCCCCTGTGGCATCCCTGTCCAGTGTGACTGATGGCATTGAGTATGGGCAGTAGGGTTCATGTTGATATTGTTATTCATATTTAAACTTATTGTACTGTGCGATCGAAATCACATGGTTTCTGTTTTGATAGGGCTTACTGAGAAAAGTAGAACGAGAATGAATGAACTATGAATGAAGTGAGTACATATAGGAAACCCTAATTGGGTTGTACCCCCTATGGGATACCCCACTATAGCCTACACAACAGCATAAGCTATATATATGTTCTGACACACCCCCATAGGCAAAGTGGGGGAGAACAAGGGGTCACAAGACCAGTCAAGCAAAGCAGAGCAAGCTCAGGGTGGATCACAAAGTCACCACACAGTCCGAGCACAACGACAGGGCAACAGGGCCAGTTCACATGCAGGAGTACACATATATATATAGAGCTAGACAAGCAAGAGCAGGAATATATATGTGACAGTACAAGCAAGGTCAAGAAGAGAGCAAGTGAGGCAAGACAGGTACAAGACCCAGCTGGGTGCAGAAGCGCTGATGGTCACAAGGCGCAAGTGCCTTGGTGAACACATCAGCAGTGTTGGCCTCAGAGGCCACGTACGCAAGTCGCAACTGACCACGCTGCTGCAGCTCACGAGCAAGAAAGTAACGGAGAGCAATGTGCTTCGTTCTGTGCTCCAAGCGCTGCTCTCGACACAAGGCCAGCATGGCCTTGTTGTCTACGTACAACACTGGAGGAGAACGAGGCGGCTCTCCAAGGTCAGTCAGCAGGTAGGTGAGCCAACGAAGCTCCTGTGCAGCCATGGCCCCGGCGTAGATCTCAGCCTCACAACTGGAGCTGAGAACAGAGGACGAGCGAGTAGCCCGCCACGAGACAGAGCCGGAACCAAGACTGAAGGTGTAACCCTGCGACGACCGCTGTGTAGCCTGGTCGTCTGCCCAAGAAGCGTCCGCGTGCCCAGTGAGGACCACTGGACTCCGCCCTCCAAGCACTAGCCCCATGCCCGACGTACTGCACAAGTAGCGCAACACCCTCTTCGCTGCAGCCATGTGCTCCGGTCGGTGTCTCCCAGGAGCAACATAGCGTGAAAGAATGCTAAGAGGGTATGCAAGGTCAGGTCGTGTGCAGGTCATCAGGTACATGAGGCAGCCAACAAGCTCTGGGTACGGGCCACTCGACTCTACGGACTCATCCGAAGGCAGAGCTGAGAGCGAGTGGCGAGTAGACAGAGGAGTGGCCTGAGGCGAGGAGTACGTGAAGCCGAAGCGTTGAAGGACCTGCTGCACCATGTGTGACTGAGTCAAGGTAATGGTGCGGCGTGCTCTGTCCCGAGTGATCTGCAAGCCAAGGTAGCTGCGCAGTTCACCGAGGTCTGTGCACGTGTGTCTCTTCTGCAGCTCGGACTTCACGTAGGCTAGTCCAGCAGTGTCAGCTGTGGCAAAGACCAAGTCGTCGACGTACACGAGGACGTAGAACGGCGGCAAAGAAGTGTCGGTGCGCAGAAACAACGACGGGTCAGCAGTAGAGGGAGCAAACCCAAGAGCCGCAAGCGTAGTCCTCAGTGTGTCGTGCCACTCACGCG